CTGGGATTCTTGCCCTTATATAATCCTTGATTGTAGACTGGGCTACTGACTCATTTCTAAGAAACAGAATATGGCAAAAATGTTGGGATGTCACTTCCAAGGTCAGGAAAAAGACCAGGTTCCACCCTGGGCATCTCACTTGCTCAGAGAGAAGGCAGCTTCCATGCTACGAGGTATGCTACAGGAAGGCCACCATGACGAGGAACTGTGGGAAGCCTTTGGGTAACAGCCAGTGAGGAACTAATGTGTACAGTTCAACAAACCATAAGAAACTGAATCTTGCAAACAACATGAGTGAGTTTGTAAGTGGATTGTTCCTGAGACTGACTTTCAAATGAGAATATGGCTCTGACTGACAGCTTGATTGAAACCTCATGAGAGACCTTGAGCTGAAAGCACCCAGATAAGCTGTGATCAGATTCCTGATGCGCCAAAAGTGAGATAATAAATTTTGCTTAAGTCACTAAATTTTGGGGAAATTTGCCACACACAAACAAATGACCAATACAAGACTTACCAAGAGAGGCCACAAGAACAAAGTTCTCCAGCATCACATCACGGTACAGGCATCTCTGCACCTCCTCGAGAAGCTCCCACTCCTCCCGGGAGAAGCACACGAACACATCCTTGAAGGTCACACTGCCCTGCTATGATGGAGACAGTTAAGCCTACAGGCAGCATAGCATCTCTCCCCAGTTCTCACCGCTCACACAAGACAGTTGGGAGACTGTCTTCCCAGTCTCCCAACTCAGAGATGCTTGTTCTTGGCACCACTTATGCCTGCTCGCTCCTCATGTCCCTCTGATCACTATGTTCAGCCCAGTACAGACCAGGCAAGTGGGCAGATACTATATAAGCTATAGGTCTGGCAAGAAGGGGCCTGCCAGCCAGTTCCCCTGGTGTCACTCAGATCATGCTTTCTAGATACAACCTTAAGGTCATTAGTTCACAGTCCTCCCAACACATACATCACTTTTCAAATCACACCTTCCTCACATCTGAGACCCCCACTACCACTGGCAACCGTCTGGTCCACACCATATGCACCTCCAAGGCACACCCCCATGCCACTCTGCACACTGTGTCCAGAAAATGCTCTTATGTTTATGTAACAGGCACCACTGCCACCCAGGTGCCTAAGCAAGAGACCCAGTTCTCAGTCCTAGGTTTTGACTTTCTGGTTAGTAACAGCATTGCTACCAGGACCTGAAGATACTCCCTCCTAAATTTAACCCACAGCGCCACACCATTCCACACATTGGCTGCCACCTCTGAACTTCTTCAAACAGAACCCTCCCTGGAACTAAAATCCTACGTCCGGCTTGATGCCTCAATTAAGGGGTCTCTAGGACTTCTTAAACTAAACGTGACGAAAGCCTAACTCCTGATCCTGCCACTGAAAATTACTCATACCACCAACTTCTCCATCTCAGTTGATGGCACTTCCATCACTCTATCAGTTAAATCAAAAAATCTCTGGGGTCATCCAGGACTCTTTCCTTTTCCTCATTCACCCTCACATGAGAAAATCCAGTCATCCTACTTAAAAAACAGATACAAAACCACTAACTTCTCCTACTTTCACAGACACCCCTCTGGGTCAGCCACCACCAACACTCCCAGTTAAAATCCGAATCAGACCATGTCTGTCTTGCTCCAAGTCTTCCGTGTCTTTCACCACACTCAGAATAGAGACCCAGCTCTTTAGGCCGACCTTCCTGCCTGACTCCTGGCCCCACTCTTAACATACATAATTAACACCAATGATTCCTGGAGGACTTTCGACACACTCTTACCTCCAAGCATTTGCACATGCTGTTCTGGGCCCACTGCACCCTTCCAGGTCTCATCCTATTGACTGCCAGAAGTAAGATGCTTTTCATATAACTCCTGGCCTAGATTCAAGATGCTGGGCTAGAAATGAAGCCCCGCTCGGGTCCCCAGACTCAAGTGCAGAGAGAGTGACAAGTGTACCGCGTGGCTCTATGTCCCATCGGAAAATCTGGTCAGTCCTACTTTAAAAACATACACGAAACCCATAAACTTCCCTAACCTCTGCTGCCACCACTCTGCTCCACACACCAACACCCACTTGGACTACTGCAGTAGCCTCCATACTGGTCTCCCTGCCCACCCTCTACTCTATCCCCCCAATCTTTCCACTCTGCAGCCAGAGGCAGTCTGTTGACGCCTAAGTCAGATCACCTTCCTCCTCTGCTCCAAACCTTATATGGCTCTGACGACCATCAGAACGGTGGCCCAGCTCCTCAGGCTGCCACTCAAGGCTTGACCCCTGACTTCCTGCTCTCTATTCTGACCAGAGATAAGAGACCCGCGGTTACCTGACTGATTCCCACCTCCAAATGTTTGTACCAGCTGGCTTCCGTGCCTTGGAAAACCATGCACATCTCATCCCACTGACGCTGGGAATGGGAACCCTAAGATTCTAGTCGGTAAGGACTCGAGGGACCCTCCACTCACCCTAGCCCGGTCCATCAGCGCCGCGGCCGCCATCGGATCCTGAGAGCAGACACCGAGGCTCAGCCGTAACTCCACACATCCACTGGGTCAGGGGACCTCGGAGTGTCGCACGGCGAAACCCCTCTCCCCGCACAAGGCTCAGGGTGCCGCCTCCGGGGGCCGACGAAGACAGGATACCGGCACGAAGGCCTCGAAAAGAGCGCAGCCCTGCCGGACACCGTGGTGCAGAGCTGCCCGTCCCCCAACGGAGGATCATGGGTCGTAACAGAGACGCGAAGGGACGTCCTTTCCTTTTAACCGTCCTTCCTAGATCGATTCCGAAGAGCCACGCGGGAAGCGGACCCCACCCAGGACTCTGAGCCTCCACAGCCAGAATGGACCCTGACAGCTCCGGCGCAGGATAAATACGTCATGCCAGCAGCGCCGGAAGTCCCGCCTCTGCCACAAGGGCAAGAGGAAGCGCCCACTTCAGGGTTGTCATGACGCAGCATCGACGCGCCGGGTTAGAAACTTCTGGGTAGTGTAGTTCCCACGCTGCACCCACCTCCACAACTGCCGCATTCCCGCTTCTCCATGACAACCATACATGGGCCGGTGGCCCGGGGGCGGGAAGGCGGGGAAATAAGCGCCCTGGAGGGAGGGTTCAAGGCATACCTTAAAGGGAATGGGTCCATATTTCCGTGGTCGCCTGAGACAATGCCAGGTCCTCAACGGTCTCCAGCAGGGGATCCATTTTTTAATTCCCGGAGGGCTGCTTTGCCTCATCTTTGGGGCTTGAGATTTAAATCGATAAATATACCTCGCTCCTGGGGACTTTGTGTAGTAGTAACATTAACTATTCCTTAAATTCGTTAATTTCCAAATTTGGGTTCTTGATTTGGTAGTATCAGTATCACTTGTGAATTCAAAATGCACCTCTTCTCAGGGAGGCCTCTGTGACCAGCTCCTCAGGTGGGCCATCAGTACGCAGGCAGGCCCTGGCCTTAGATCTCCCCACAATGGACTTTGCCCAGAAGTCCCTGTGTGGGGCTAACTTCTATCTGTATCACAGGTTTAAATTAGATGCCACAGTAGGGGTTGTGATTGGAAGGGGAATCCTGGAGGCCATGGTGTTCTTAGTAGCTGGTCTGGCACTCACCTCTAAACTCTGGGAGTCTCCTGTTGAATATAAACAAGTTCACAGAGCACCAACCTCAGTCAAGGCCACTCAGTGACCATGATTGAGACAAAGAAAGATGGACCCTTTCATTGTGTCTCAGTGGACAAAACCAGAAACCTGTGCAAACAGAAATGACCAGATAGCCTCCTTCTTCTGGGTAAGATGAGTGACAGCTATTTAGTGCTGCTTCCTTCCCCTGCTTTGTAGGTAACTGTTAGGTTCAGGAGGGCCCGACCCTCATAGTGTGGGAACCTGACTACTCCCCTATCGCTGTATGAAAACCGGACCTTGCAGCGTCCGGGTTGGCAACCATACATGCTCACCTCTCCTTTCAATGGATTCTCCTCCCTTTATTACCAATTTACCCAACCGAAATATTCCCACCAAAAAAAATGCCTCCAGCCCCATATAAGTTTCAGGTCCCCTCGCATTCAGGGCTGAAGCTATCTTTGGTTCAGCCCAGCTGTCACTCTGCTACAATAAATCTTGCTTCAGCCTTATGCATTCCTCCTTCAGCAAACCTAACAGTAACAAATTTCAGGATATCTGCTCATAGAATCAACACCTCAACCTGACAGCATCCAATTCAGACCAAAGCTCGATTTCCTTAAACTCTCCTTCAAAGAAGTGGACAAAAGCCCAGAACCTGGAAAATGGCCTATCACCCTCTGAGGGTCTTGCATTTCCCAGTGTGTGTGGTGCCCCACATCACAGTGCGCCAATAAACCTCACTGTTCCACTACAGGTCTCAGGTATGTTCCTGTGCTTAAAGGCATTGGCACCACATACCTGCAGAGAGACCTAGCATTCCCCTGAATTCCAGACTTGCACATCCAACTAGGTATCATTTCCTCTTAGATGTCTGGTGGACTTCTCAAAGTGAGTACGAAACCCAATTCCTCATCTCTCCAACTCCAGTCAATCCCACCACGCTCCCCACTGCAGCCACGTGGACTTCACCTAGTTCTGTACCAGACCATGATCTGGTCAGTCTGTTACCTTTGCTGGAGACATTCTCCTCCAACTCCAACCTTGTTTGGGGATTCCACATCCTCCAAGGGTCTTTCTGTCAACCTCTTGCTTCTGTCTGCTCTGCTTCCTGTGCTTTAGTTCAATGTCTGTCTTCCTGTTTTATATACAAGAACACTGAACTCCAAGGATAAGGGATGTGACCAAAGTCATGTAGCTGGGGATGAGCACAATGTAGACCGGCTGGGATCCCAATGCCTAGCTCTTAGCATGTAGCACACTCTGACCCCTCCAGACCTGCCTGCCTTCACATTCCCTGATTTCGATCCTTCTTTCTCTTGTACTTCTGGGGTCCCCAGACACATTTCTGTCAAAGCAAGTTACTGTATTTCACCTGCTTCATTTAATGTTCTCCACATAAGATGAAATCAAGGGCAGGGCCCACATCTGTCACCCATGTGTCTCAAGTGTTCATGGTGTGCCATGAGAATGAGATGGGGTCACAGCACTATTGCCCAAACAGCAGCAAGGTCACAACTGGCCCTTCTGACAGAACATGGAAGGAAGACCAGATAGTGAGAAATGAGTGATGAGGGACAAACCCAACTCCTTCATTCTCTGAAGGGCATGTCACGACTGTTAAGAAACTTGGAGAAGACCCTGAAGAAACGATTTTAAAAAGTGAAAAATACAGCCAAAGGAAAGAAGCAGGACTCAGCTGGGAATACTGTACAGCTACATGAGCATCACCACACCCCGGAGAAAATAAAGAAAAACCAACATGTAGATTGGGATCAAGGAAAAGTGAGCATGCTGGATGTTTAAAATGTCATGAAAAAAGGACTTTTTTAATTTATTTCTCTTAACAGTGTCTTTTTAAACTACTGTTTCAATTACAGTTGACATATTATATCAGTTTCATGTGTATTTTTTTCCTTAATTGAAGCCCTTTCTCACCACTCTTATTCTGAAAGTCTGAAAGTCTAGTACTGAAAGTCCTAGCTATAGCAATCAGCCAAGACAAATAAAAGCCATCCAAATCAAAAAAAGAAAAAAAGTAAAATTGTCATTATTTGAAAATGATATGATCTTATATATTGAAAATCCCACAGACTCAACTAAAAAACGGTTGGATCTAATCAATGAATTCAATAAAGCTGCAGGATATTAAATCAATACACACACATCAGTTGCATTTCTATACACTAACCACAGAATATCTGAAAAATAAAGAAAACTACCCCAAACGGCAGCAAAAACAATAACTATGAATAAATTTAACTAAGGAAATGAAAGAACTGTATAATGAAAACTACAAGACTGCTGAAAGAAATCAAACAAATGGAAGGACAGCCCATGTTCATGGACTGGAAGAGTTAATATTGTTAAAATATCCATGCTGTATGAAGCCATCTACGGATTCAATGCAATGCCTATCAAAATTACAATGGCATTTTCCACAAAAATAGAAAAACAAACCTAAAATTTGTATGGAACCACAAAAGACCCCCAAATAGCTAAAGTAATCATAAGAAAGAACAAAAGTGAAGGCATCACATGTACTGATTTCAAACTATACTGCAAAACTATAGTAATTTAGACAGTATGGTAATAGACAGATACACCAATGGAACACCAGAGAGCCAGAATTAAAACCCTTATAAATGGTCAATTAATATTTGATAAGGGAGCCAAGAACATCCAATAGGGAAAATAGTCTCTTCAATAAATGGTATTGGGAAAAGTGGATAACCACATGCGGAAAAATGAAACTGAATCTCTATCTTACATCACTCTTAAAAATTAACTTAACATGAATCAAAAACTTAAACATATGCCCTGATACCATAAAACTCCTAGAAGTAAACACTGGAAAGAAGCTCCTTGACATCAATTTTTTGGATGTGACACCAAAACCACAAACAACAAAAGAAAAATTAGTAAGTGGGACTATATAAACTTAAAAGCTTCGGACTGTAAAAAGAAATAACAAAATAAAAGGGCAACCTATGGAATGGAATATTTGCAAGCTTGTATTAGATAAAGGGTTAATATTCAAAATTTATACAAAACTGAATTCAATAACAATGACCCCAAACAACTGATTTAAAAATGGGCAAAAGAACTAAAAAGACATTTTTCCCAAGATATCTAAGCAATCAACAGGTACATGTAAAGATGTTCAATGTCACTAATCATCAAAGAAATACAAATCAAAACCACAATGAGATATCACCTCACACCTGGATGAATGGCTATCATCAAGAAAAGATAACGGTGTTGACGAGAAAGTGGAAAAAGGGAATCCTTGTGTACTGTTGGTGGGACTGTAAACCAGTCCACTTTGGAGAACAGTATAGAGATTCTTCAAAAAATTAAGAATAGAACTATCTTATGATTCAGCAATCCCACTTCTGGATATTAACTCAAAAGAATGAAAACAAGTTGTTAAAGACATATATGTATGCTCATGTTTATTACAGCATTGTTCACAATAGCCAAGAAATGGAAACAACCTAAGTGTCCAACAAAGGATGAATGGATAAAAGTGGTACACATACTCATATACAAAATGAGAATGTTATTCAGCCATGAGAAAAAAAGGAAATCCTGCCATTTGCAAAAACATGAATGGACCTTGCGGGCATTATGCTAAGTTAGAAAAAGACAAACACTACAGGATATCCTTACATGCAGAATCTAAATAAAAAATCAAACCAAACTTGAAAAAACAAAGAGTAGAATGATGGTTACAAAAGGCTGGTGGGTGTGGGAGTGGGAGAGATTATTGTTTAAGGGTACACATTTGCAACTAGTAGGTAAAGTTCCTGGAAATCTAATATACAGTACAGAGATTACATACAACAAAACTGTATTACAAACCTTAAACACAGTAAGAGATTAGATCTTAATTGTTCTCACCACTAGAAGAAAAGATAAACCTGTGACATGATAGCGGTATTAGCTAACACTACAATGGCAATCATAGTGCAATATAAATGTATCAGATGAATATACTGTACATCTTAAACTTTGTATACAATGTTATATGTCAATTATATCTCAAAAACAATACTAAGTAAATAAATAGATAAAAACTGAGACCTTAAATAGTACAGTAAAATGTACCCATTCATAAGTATGTACTTATTTCCTTTGACATAAAATAATCTTAGGCAACAATACTTTTAGTATTCTGGTTTAAGTTTTAAGAGCTTCATAAATCAAGGCTTCATGTTTGGCACAAAGACTTATGCTCAATGGTTGAGACGATGTTCTGTAACAAAAGATTTCAACAAATATTTGCTGAACTGCTCTCAAGTATGCAGCTAACCTGACATGGGAGGGAGAGTATGTACATTAAGTCAGGTGACAGGAACAAGGCTCTTTTACTTGAAATCTTGCTCTTCCCCTGCCACTCAACAACAACAAAACAACCAATAACAAATTGTCATGGGTTTGTCAGGGAAACCCAAATCAAGCCATGAAGGCATTTCTTTTTGTTACATCTACTTCCTTTTTATTTCCTCCTTTATGTCTGTTATTTTTAAAATAGTCCTGTGATTGCTTTTCGGTGCACTCTAAAGGTAGTTCTACAGCTGAAGGATTTTGTAATTGCACAATAACCACTGATTCTCTCTCCTTTATGAATTCTCCGATGTAGAGTAAGGTCCTAGGCTGGGTCAATTTTCAATATGACTCTTTAGACGGATGACAATAGCTGATGATTTGCCTCAGATTGTCTCACAGTAATGACACTTGCGGGGTTTCTCTTTGGTAAAATTCTCAGATACCAAGTAAGATGTTTCCTCTGGTCAAGATTCTCCTCAAGAGTTACATCCAACAGGTCTTTCCCCAGTATGAGTTCTCTGAATATGACTGAGGTGTGTCCACTTGCAAGAGGCTTTCCCGTATCTCTCACTCCAGTGTTGCTCCCCAGTGTGGATCCTTTGAGGATGAGTGACAGATGAACGAAGGCTGAAGGCAAGCCCACATGCAGTGTACTGACAGAGCTTCTGCCCAGTGTGACTCCTCACGTGTTGAGTTAGGGGACAGCTAGCACGAAAAGCTCTTATATTTTTTATACTTAAAGTGTTCTACTCCAGTGTGGATCCTATTATTCCAAAAAGGAACAACAGGGTGAGGGAAGATCTTACCATAGCCACTGCACTTGGGGCTTCTCTCTTGTGAGAATCCTCATGTGACGAGTGAAAATACAGCTGTCACAAAAGACTTACCAGAATATGCTGCACTCACAGACTTTGTCTAGAGTGGGAAAAAGCTCTGTCCTCTCAAGGCTTTCTCACATCCAGTGCAGTCATAGGGCTTTACTTCGGTAAATCTGCGAAAGGCATTTGTTGAACCCATACCCGTGCTGCTTCCCTGTGTGCCAATCCTTCCCTGCGCAGGCCACGGAAGCATTACCTGGTCCACGCGTGTTCTGCTTGGGGACAGCATGTCCTGGAGACCTGCTCCTATAAAACTTTCAAGGGCAGATCATCATCTGTCCCCACAGCATTATGTACAGAGCTCAACTTCCTGGGGAGGCTATCCCTGTGGGAAAATGTCCCTAGACTTCTTGCATTTTGGCTGCTCCCTGGACCGATCCCTACCCCCTGGGGAGTCCCTTGAGACTCCTTGAGTTAACTGACCCTGCAGTGAGGCCCCCTCCAACAAGGGCAGCTAAGAAGAGGAAGGCTTTGTGGTCCCAGGTTGCGCTTTCTTGCCTATGTAGATCCAACACACGTAAAGGTCTGTTAGCAATGCCAGCACAGAAAGGCATTCCACATTCAATGCTCCTGTGTGGCTTCTCCCCACAGAGAGGGGCCTGGCACTAAACAAGGTCAGAGTTGGCCAGTTCTTCTGATCCTCCCTACAAGTGAAGGCCTTCTTTAATGTTGGGATCTGTAGTGCTTCACAAACAAGGCCTGGCCTCTTCCCTTCTAAAGAATTGCTCTCCATGCTGCTGCTTCTGCCTCTGGTCAAGGTTTACACTGAACTGAAAGTCTCTCCTACACAATTCACATGTGGCTATGTGGTCACTGTCCAGATGGTGTTCCCTGTGGCTCAGCCAGGTAAGCAAATGTCTTTCAAGACTGGGCCAGACATGCCACATGAGTGAGCCTTTTAGGTGGAAGGACCTGCCTTGAGCATTCTAAACTGCGACACTTACAGAAACACTCTGCTCAGAAGGCACAGGCTCTTCCTCCGCAACATGGCAACAACCTGAAAGAAGATAAATGCTGGTCAAACACATGTTTAATGGGTGGCAAAAGGTATCCCATAAGAAATGTGTGTCTGATACTACCAGGGTATAGTCCGTAGGCCTGTTGGCAGAACACAGCACTAGAGTCAGGATGAGGAAGGCTGCTATGCACTGGAGGTCTCACAGAATGGAGGAGATCTCACAGGGGTGAGGGTACAAGGATGGGGAACAGTGTAAGGAAGAAAGGCATGGTCTCCTAATGAGACAAAGGTTCCTTGTGACAGGCAAATGCTGTCCCAAAGGATCTGTCCAGGACCACGCATATCTGGCTGGAACTGAATAGTCTTCAAGGAAACAAGGATATGTGCAGAAATCATGACATGTTAAATGAAAGCCAGTGCTGTAGAGCACCTCATGGAGCACTAAAAGAGGACAAATGAGACATGGGATGACAAAGGTAGGGGACTAACAGATACCTGAAGTCAGAACACAAATGACAAGTGAGCAATACATCAAAAACAAAGGGAAAGTGAGACGAGGTTAGTCACTGGTATTGGCATCAAACACTAGTAGACAAAGCACTGACTGCTTGTGTAATATGAAGCCAGCCTGTCGTCACCATTCCACTCACCAAGGCCGGGCCTCCTCCAGGTCTTCTTTGCTGTGGCTGGAGCCGAGTCTACCTTCTCAAGAACCCTGGGCTCCCTTCTGGCTCCATGCGGGTAACCACATGGGACCTGGAAACTGCAAGCCCTGAAGTGAAAGGAGACAGGTAAGTGGCCAGCAGTGACATAGGCAACCTTTCCCACATAGAAGAAATTTCAATATCAAAAAAAAGAACCTTGAAAGAAAGTTTTGCAGGAACAGCTCACTGTTCTTCACAAGGACAGACCACGACAGTGCCCTCGATTCCTGCAACAGTCAGCTCCCACCCCACATACACACCAGGAAACGTCAGTTAGAAGAAGGGGGCAGAATCTGGGAACAGAGATGCCAGTGATCTGGACAGTCCCCAACCAAAGTGTGGCCAGGCCATCTGAAATCTGCTGTGCAGACTGCGAGACTTATGACTCGAAACCCTTCATTTCAAAGCTTTGGGCAGTGTGTTGGGGCCACTCTGGAAGATGAGGCAGCAGTGCCCAATGCCCACCCCTGGTACCCACACCACCTTCTCCAAGGAACCAAGGAAAAGAGCTATTCTGTGAGAGCGCCATGAAACAGAGCTGCCCCTTGGGTGAAAAATGAAGAAGTAAACCCAGCCCAGGAAACTGGGACTCACGCCCACCCCCAAGAATCTATGTCGTTGTGAACCCTTCCAGCGGAGTATGGGCTAGACCTAAAAACTCCTTTCTGATAAACAGAATATGGCAAAAACAATAGGACATTACTTCTGAGAATAGGTTACAAAAATACTAGTTTCTACCTTGAATACTATCTCTTGCTCACAGTCATGGAACTCAGCTGCCTGTGACCTGCTTACAGAGAAGACAACATAGCAAGACACTGAGGGAGGACTCTGGCCAACAGCTGGCAAAGAAATGATAAATCAGCCCAAAGGTATACTGTTCATGTGCATGACCCTGAAAGGAGAGTCATCTCCAGTTAAGCCTTCAGATGAGAGGGCAACCCTGGACAGCCTCAGTAAGGTCACAAAAAACCTTGAGCTAGAGATATGCAAGTCAGATATGTATGATTCTTGATCCGCAGAAACCATGAAATAATAAATTTCTGTCTTTTCAACCCACTAAATTTGGGGGAAATTTGCCACGCACCAACAGATAACCACAACAAGAACTTACCCAGCGAGGACACAAGTGCAAAGTTCTCTAGCATTACATCACGGTACAGGCGTCGCTGCGCCTCCTCGAGAAGCTCCCACTCCTCCCGGGAGAAGCACACGAACACATCCTCGAAGGTCACACAGCCCTGTCATGATGAGAACAGTTGAGCCCACAAGCAGCACAGCATCTCTCCCCAGCTCTCACTGCTCACGAGCACTCTCCGGTCCCTGATCTCTTAGCCTCCCAACTCAGAGATATCTGGCCTTGGCACCACTCATGTCTCTTCGCTCCTCATGTCCCTCTGATCACTGTGTTCAGCTCAGTGCAGACCATGGAGGTGGGCAGATACTGTGTAAGCTCTGGGTCTGGCAAGAAGGGTCCTAAACACTCTCCTGCCAGCCAGTTCACCTGGTGTTACCCAGACCATGCCTCCCTGACACCACCAAACTCCAACTCAGCCTTCTTCCATAAGCTCCCAGTATTAGGACCTTAAGGCTGTCAGTTCACACTCCTCTCTGGTCTTCTTCCCTCCGCCCTTATTTTTCGGCCTCCACTGTGCTGCCAGAAGAAACCTGTTGAATGAAATCTGTGTAAAATCACCTCCATCTCTGCTCCAAACTTTAAGAAGGGATGCTTAGCTCCTCCGGCTGCCATTCCAGGCCTGACTTGTGGCGCCGCAGCTGTCTGTTCTCATAAAACACAATGGTGACCTCAATCACTCCCAAATCAGTCTCACTTCCAAGTCTTTGCACATGCCTGTTCCAGTGACTGGTACTCCTTTCCGAACTTATTTGGCCTATACTAAGGACCCTGGGCCAGAAGTGACTCCCTTCAGGAACTCTACGACCACGAACCGGGAGAATGAAAGGTAGAGCCCGAAGACAAGGAGTTATGACCATGAGGGTGTGTGAGGTTGAGGCCGAGGGACACAACACTCACCTGCGCCGGATTCATTAGCGCTGCTGCCCTGGTCCCCGCCGCGCGGCCCGGTGGGCTTTGTGGGGTTCTGTGAGGTGGGCGCCCAGGGCAGGGTTCACCTTTTGCTGTGTATCGCACTCCAAGCTTCACTATAAAACGGTATAAAACGCTCACAAGACCCAGGCCGCCGTTTTCAAGGGTCGGGCGCCGGACCGCGGAAGACTCGGGTAAGCACGAGGGGCGACGGCGTCCGCTCTACAGTCGGGGACAGCCTCAGAGAGACAGAGCCTGCACCGGTAGTCACAATCTCACAGCCACGGGGGCGGCCCTGTCACGTCACCCTCCTTTCCAGCTTAGCCCTAGAGCGACGCCCTAGCGCATCTCTCCGGTCCACGTGGTACCGGTCCAAAATGCAACTGTGCGCCAAAGGAAGTACTCCTGAAGCAACACCGGAAGTCCCGCCCCACGACTCAGGGCACGCCCCTCTTCGGCCTTCATTGGCTCAGCTCTCAGGCAGAAAAAGCATGAGGTATCCGCTTCTGGGTAATGTAGTCTATTCCGTCTGTTCGTATGTGCCGTTCCCCTTTTCCATGGCAACCTACAAACCGCATTGGTAGAACGTGCGAGAAAATAAAGCTCGAGGTTTCCAAACACGGGCAGGGCTTCGCTTCCTCTTAAAAACGCCCTAGTTTCCCTGGGCATGGCGGTGGACATGCAAGCTCTGCGGTCTCACCCGGACCTAGTGAATCACAAACTTTCCGTCCTGCTCCCTCCCACCCGCGTCGCGAATCATCCCTTTTCCAGCATACCCATGCGGTACACATGTCTGTATAGGAAAAATACAGTATTCAGTACCATCCTCGGTTTTACGTATCCAGCCGGGGTCTTGGAAATATACCCCACGAATATGAGGGGGACGACTGTATTAATATGGTCATTAGCGTTACCATCACAATGCTTTCATGCACACTGCTGTGGGAAGTGAAATTGGGGATGCCTCTTTGCAGGATCCTTGGCATTATTTATCAAAAGATACAATGACCCTGACTCAGCAGCCTCATAAATTTTTATTAAAAGTTTTACATAAAAGCATACGTTTGTATTATTTGTCTTATTTAGTTATTTCTTACACAGCACAAAATTTCTTAAACTACAGGTAGACATTTTGCCCAAAGAGATGCCTTATTGCAGGCCACGTAATTCAGATATTGGGAACACCTGGATTAACTGCCCTCAAGCCTGAGTGGAGAATGGAGTTGACATGGTTACATGTTTGTGACAGAATGACATGTTACCTAGTTCGCGGTAACCAGGACCTCCCTTTCCACATTCTGTCTTTCCCTGACCCTCAGGGCAGGTAGGCCCAGGAACAAATATATGATCATGAGATGGCCCAGCCTGAAGCTCAGCACCTTTAAGTTATCAGGTCCTGTCCTCAACAAAACACCATCACCATCAGCCCATCACCTGAACCTGGAGCCCCCAAGGGAACACTAAATCCTGAAAAATAGAGAATCACTGAGATCCCCAGAATGGTACACAAATACAAAACAGTTAAAACACAGTTTGACAGTCATTTTTGCCTATACTCAATTGGCTGCGACTCATTCAGATGGTCCCAAATTAAGTGTACAGAAGCTGGGACATGCTGTTCTGTTAGGTGTCCCAAAAAAGAAAATGGAATTGGTAAGCATACAGCCAGTTTATGTCACAACCCATCAATTTGGTCACCACATATATATTTTTTTATTTCTCGCATGCATTCTACACTGTCATTCTTTTATTATCCAACAACTCAAAACTCCATCTAATTACTGAGCTCATCTCACAGTTAACAATCTCTAAGGTGTGTTGTCCTTTGCATCAGGTTCAACTACTGTTCCTTACCACCAGGAAACTATCAACACAAAATAAATTGTCTTCACTCGCACCCAATATATATATACTGGAGTCAGAGATACAATGGAAGGACATACTGAAGGTCCCAAAGAAATCATCGCCAACATAAATTTCACTCAAATAACATTCAACAATTAGTGTTTTTCTTTTTTTAAGAAAGGGCATGAAATAAGACTACATGTGCCCCAAAATGAAAAATGGAATAGAAAACTAATCCACAGAAAAGGAATGCTAAAGGTTACATTTAAGGACAAAGGAAAATGATCCAGGTGAAAGGTCTGCAGCAATAGAAGAAATAAAGATCCAAGAGAAGGATGCATCTGTAGATAGTACAATTATTCACTATCTGTATAAAACATAAACAGTATCTCCTTGTTGAGTACAATGACATAATTACCATTCAATCCTCAAATAATATCCCTTATATTGGGCAAGACGATATATGCTCATTTATATTAAGGATAAGTGTTATAATTTTAACTTAAACATTAGCAAAATAGGAGTATATACAATCCCAACTAAAATACAGAGTTTAGAATTACAGAAAAATTTTAAAGTACAAGAAATAGAAGTGAAGCAAAAGTAAGCACAAAATAGGAAGATGTATTTAAACCCAAAGATACCAGCCATCACATGAGTATGGAAATGTTTGAATTAGTAATAACTTTGGTGTGTGGAAAAATATCCTGCAATATTCACTTTCTGTCACATTTCCAAGATATGTTATAGAAATATATGAAATAACACCAATTCTATAAAATCTCACCCAGAAAAAAAAAAAGAAGAAGAAAAAAAAGAGGAGGAACACGTCCCAGTTCATTTTGAGAGGCATTACTTGGACACTAACAATCGTGCAAAAAAATTAAACTACAGACCAATATGGTCATGATTTTAGACACAAAAATCCTAAACAAAATTCTAGCTAACAGAAGGCTGTAACATACACAGAGTAAAATAATTATATTTCATGATCTGGTGGGGTTTGTTACAGGAATGCAAGGATGGTTCAACATTTGAAAACCAGTCAAAGCAAACCATTATAGCATCCATTCATAATGAAAGCTGTTAGCAAATTAAGAGGGAAACTTTCCAAACTGAAAAACATGTATAAGAAAAACCTGCAGCTATTATCATACTTAATGGTCAACACTAAATACTTTCTCCCTAACATTAAGAACAAGGCAGGTGTGTCCTCCTTCACCACTTCTATCCAACACTATATTGGAAGTTCTAGCTGGTACAATAAAAACAAGAAAAGGAAATGAAAGGGATATGGTTTAGGAAGAAGAAATAAGATGTTCGCAACTTGCTGATAACATTATTGTTTATGAAAAAAATCCTGAGGAATGTACCAAAAAAGCTGCTAGAACTAAGTGAATTCAGCAAGGTCATAGGCTACAAGGTCAACATATGAACATTAGTTATATTACAATATAACAGTAATGCTCATGTGCAAACTGAAATTAAAAACTCAATACCACATATAATGACTCAAAAAAAAGTGCCTAGATAAAAATCTAACAAAATATGTTCAGGAACCATAAGCTACAAATTACAAAACACTAACTAAATAAATCCAAGAGGATCTAAATAAATGGAGAGGCATACCATGCCCATCGACCGGAAGACTCAACACAATGAAGATTCCAAATCTCACCAAAATGATCCACAGATTAATTTCTACCAAAAATCTTAGCAAGATGTTTTATAAATATAGACATGCATATGATAAAGTTTATATGGAAAGCCAAAGGAAATTTTTGATATGGAAAACTACATTAATTTTTAAAAAGAATATGGAGGAATAACTTTACCTAACTTTAAGACTTGATGATGGTTACAGTAATCAAGATAGTGTGGTAGTGGCAGACGTTAAAACACACTGATCAATGTGATAATATAGAGAACTCAGAAATAGACCAACATGAATATGCCCAACTGATTTTTGACAGAGGAGTAGACACAATTCAACAAAAGCAGGAAAGTCTTTTCAACAAGTGGTGCTGGAATAACCCTTAGGTCAACACAAGAAAAAAACTCAAGGTAAACCGCACATGGCAATACAGAAATTAACTCAACATGGACTAGAGATTTAAATGTAAAAGGTAAAACTAGAAAATTTATAGAAAAAAATATTCAGGACCTAGGGCTTACTAAAGACTTCCTAGACATGACATGAAAAGGGTAGAGAGATGCTTTTACAATAATGCCATGGATTGATACAATGAAAATGGCTTGGCCTACAATGGCAATACGAAACTACACATGTGGTCATTTAAAAGGCCCTGAGATGGTTTCCAAGTAGACACATTACGTCCAATGTATTTCTTAACATGAGGTAATACTATAGTAGGTAGCTCAAAAAAATACTGGAGGAATTCCAAAATACCCTAATAAAAGGTACTAGTCATTAGTCTTTATGCCAGAACTAAGCTCATGGTGACAACCGTGCAACTCACATATACCTACATGTACACGTCCACTTCATTCTGTTAAAATTCTTGTGAATTTGACAGTAAATTTTCACAATCTTTTGTAAAATTAAAAATGAGATGCCTTCTCTGTTTTTCTGACTTTATCATTATTCTTTAGCCTAACTTAGCCGTGTATTTTATTTTGTTTTGGCTCTAAATCAACCCCTAGAAAATTGTGGAGGTGGAAACCTCTCTAAGGAGGATTGAAGCAGCTCAGAAACCAAAGAGGGGAGAATTAGGATTCATCTGGGAAGGTCGAACAGCAACACTCATCCTCACACCACAGAAAAATAAAGGAAAAAAAATAAGTATATCAAGATGAAATATGAGTTTTTGAATGGTTGAAGACACATGAAGAAACATGTTTTTCAATTCCGTCTTAAGTGTGCAGTAAAGTGTGCCCATTCATACGTGCATCTTTATCTCAATATAAGAGCATTTCCTAACTCAAGCCCTCATATTCTTCATAGATTTATGCTGCTCATGAGGAGAGACAATGTTGTAGAACAAAGGCGGCTTTCGATCAGTGTTTTCGGACATACCCTCAACTGTCTAACTCTCCCAATACTAGACAGAAGTGAATGTACGTAACAGATAACTAAGGAAACTAGGCCCTCTGATTGCTGACATGACATGCCCTGCTCCCAAAATAAAGGGATGAAAAATTGACATAGGCTTTTCTGAAAGAAGCTTGCTTGCATGTTTTTTCTCTTCTGTGTCTCTTCCTCCTTTGTTTGAATTTCCCTGAGATAATTTTGCAGTGTAAACTAAGGAGAAAGATGTGGCTGAAGGTTTTGCTAAGTGAATGATAAAGATTGGATCACATCTACGGCCATGCTACCCTGAACAAGCCCGATCCCATCTGATCTCGGAAGCTAAGCAGGGTTGGGCCTGGTTAGTACTTGGATGGGAGACCACCTAGGAAGACCAGGTGCTGTAGGCATAAAAAATTTAAAAAATAAGGGATTGTAAGCTGACAAGGTCCTTGCATTCTGTGAGGTCAACCAAGGATTGCCTCACCTAAAAAATTAAAAAAAAAAAAAAGATTGAAACACTCTCCTGGATGAACTCTCAGAGG